ACCACTAGTACCACGACTACGATTTTTCTACTACTACTTACGATCACTTACTACTACTACTTTACTACGGACCTACTACGTTACTTTAGCAACTACGCATGCATTAAACAAATACTGACTTTATGGCGGCGGGACTCTACATACGACCTTCTTCTATACTAACTATACAGATTTCTACTACTACTACTACGATTACTGCTACTACTGCTACTACTACTACTACTCCTACTACTACGACTACGACTACTACTACTACTACTTCTACTACTACTACCCTGATGACTCGTATTACTAGTAGTACTGCTGATACTACGACTACTACTACTACTACTACTACTACTACTACCACTACTACTACTAGTAATAGTACTACTACTACTACGACTGCTACTACTACTACGACTACTACTACTACTACTACTACTACTATTACTACTACTACTACTACGAGTATTATTTCGATTACTACTACTTCTAGACTACTACTACTACTACTACTACTACTACTACTACTACGTTTACTACTACTACTACTACAGCTACGACTAGTACTACGACTTTCGATGGTTATTGCTACGAGCACTACTACCTTTACTATCACCAATACTATTTCCATTCGTGCGACGACTACTACTACCGCTTCTACTTCCACGACCAGCAGCATCACGACTTCGACTACGATTGCGACTACTACGACTACAAGTATTACAATTCCGCTGATTTCTTTTACTATTACTACTATCAGTGTTTGTCCGACTACTACTACTATTCCTACTACTACCACGGGTACTACGACTACTTCTACTACTACTTCTACTACTACTACTACTACTACTACTACCACTACTACTACTACTACTACTACTACTACTACTACTACTACTACTACGAGTAATACTACTACGACGCCTACTGCTGCTGCTGCTACTACTACTACTACTACTACTACCACTTTTTCTACTATCACTACTACTACTACTGCTACTACTACTATTACGACTACTACTACTACAACTACTACTATTCCTAGCACTACTACTACTACTACTACTACAGCTACCACTACTACGATTGCTTTTAATACTACTTGTGCTACCGCTTCCACTACCACACGATTACGACTGCAGCGGTTACTACGACGACTATTATTACAAGTATTATTTCGGCTATACTTTTATTTTAATGGCTACTGCTACTTCTACCACTACCGCTGGCCTTAGTACTGCCACTACTACTACTCCTATTGCTACAAGGACGACTACCACCACCTCTAGTACTACTAGCATTACGCCTTTTTATTTTTGTCAGTACTACGATCACGGCTACTACTATTATAATTCTTCTTTACTACTACTATTACTCTTACGAATATTCTTCTATTCTTTCTACGGTTACTACTACTACTACGACTACTACCACTACTACGACTACTAGACTACTACGACTACTACGACTACTACTGCTACTATTGCTACTACTACGACTACCACTCTTACTTCTATTACGACGACTACTACTACTACTACTACTACTACTACAAATGATACTCCCACCATTACTATTGCTACTACGACTACGACTGCGACGACTAACTACTACACACTTTCTGCTACTACTACTACTACTACTACTACTACTACTACTACTACTAATGCCACTACCATTACCACTATTATTACTACTACTACGACTACTACGACTACTACTACTACGACTACGACGACGACGACGACGACGACTACTACGACTACTACTACTACTACTACTATTACTACTACTTCGAATACTACTACTACATCTACTTTTACTTTTTTTAGTAGTACGGATATTACTACTACTATTCCTACCATTACTTCTAGCACTGCTACTACTACTACTACTACTACTACTGCGACTACTACTTCTACTTCTACTACCACCATTACTACTTCGACTACTACTACTAGTACTACTAGTCCCCCTACTACAAGTATTCTTACTACTACGACGACGACTACTACTATTATGTCTACTTCTACCACTACGACTTCTATTATGACTTGTAATACAACTACCACTATTACTAACCATACTACTACTTGTTTCGACTACTACTACTACTACCACAACAACAACAACTACTACTACTACTACTACTACACTTACTACTTTTTCCACCACTACTACTACTATTACTACTACTACTACTACTACTACTACTACTACTACTACTACTAATACTACTACTACAACTACTACTACTACTACTACTA